TTTAAGTTTATAAATGTATGGACATTTTTATATGCAATTCAAATACAAATACAGTTTTTGAATCCTTTTGTTTTATTGTTTCAATGTGTTCTGTCCATTGCTGTCCATTGTCCATTGCAAACTTCCAGTTTGAATAAGAAATGTCAAAACGGGAAAGAAACTGCACCTATCAATAATAAATGTCAAAGCATTTTTAAACTTTGATATTTCCACGTGAACTGCTTTTTCCCCAAAAAGATTGTTATTAGGTGTTAAAGTACTGTTCACATTCTCTTTTTGTTTAGTCGAAAATGTCATAAAATGCCATTTTCAGCTGAAAATTCAGTGGCCAAAATCTGCAGCATCCTTTGTTCCCATTCACACACCCACCCTGCCTTCATTCATCTGTAAATGGCAAAGTGACACTAACAATTTGCTAATTAAAGGTTTGGGCATAAAGCCTGTGCATTTGAACGCATTCCCAAAGTGCTGGGAACTGGAAACATCCCGGCACTCTTAAACCCCAAAATCTGCTTAAACTTCGTTGTAAACACCTTTAAAAATAGGTCACGGCAGTCATACGGATGCTAATGCTTCCCTGCTTTCTTAAGCGAAACTCTGAGTGACGTGTCTGTGAGGTTTTCTTGCCACCGCCGTAGCCCGCTCTCAATGGAGATGCTCTCTCATCAAAGTGGAGTCGATGGGAGGCCGGGCCGGGGACCGTTTTCTCTGCCAGTCAGCTCAAATTGCATGCAGCTGCAGTGCCAGCTTAGTCAGGTACATCGTTTTGGAGGAAGACTTGGGAGATAAATATAGCAACCAACCAGCTGCACCCGGTTATGCTTCGACATGCCACAAACCCACCAAAGGAATGCGTCCAAACTCGGTTGAGCATCCGAACGCCAAACAAAATCCCAAGACAAAAAGCACATACATCCCACAACCTGACTAATCGCAGGCATATTGTAGGCTTGGTGCAGCAAAGCATGAATACTTCATGGGTTTATACAGCTACACACGCACCCACGCACAACAGTTCCAGCAAACACACACACGTCCGTTTCTCATGGTTGCCCACGCACACCCACACTTCATATTCTGCCCTCTCCCCAACTGACAGAAAAATCCAGGATTGCTGTGTAAAGTTTTAACACACGTATTTAAAGCGATCGCTAGAAGACGTCCATCCCGCTGACTTTCCTCATGACAGGCATTCCCTGTGACTTCTGAAGTAAACAAATATCTAAAAATGATGACTGTAAATCAAGGGAAGAGTGTCTAATTCACAATGAGTCCTTTTAGGGAAATGGTTCACACCAAACTTAAAGTACCTAAATTATGCCATTTCAAATATTGCCTTTCATGCAGTGTGTATTGTAGTTGTATGTGAATGTAAACAAACTGCAAAGTTGAAAAGCCGAAAGTACACGATAAATAAAGATATTGTCTCCCAAAAGAAAGAATCGACTCTGAACAGCCGAAACGAGTCGTCAGCAATTCACATCCCACTTCTGTGACGACTACATGTCACTGGGTAACACATTTGCATAATGCCCACCTATGGTCTATGTTGGCCGGCCGCAAACAACTTGACCCTCAAACACTGTAGCTTGTTCGTGTGGTTAACATCATGTCGAGAAGACGCTGTGTCCTATGCTGCGAAAGTAAATTTGTTTTATTTTCACTTCTGAAAGATGAGGCTGCAAAGAATTAGTGGATAACAATTTTTTTTTCCACTTTACCACAGCAGTACAACCCCAATCTTTTGTTGTGTTCCCGTCATTTTATTGACGACTGCTTCTCTAATCTCTAAGAGTTCAACATTGGTTTCACAAAACGCTTGCTCTTTAAAAGTTGGCTCAGTACCCAGTTTATTTGGACCAGCTGACTCCACTGAATCACAACCTGTAAGTATGATAAATAATAGATGTTTATATTGTCTATCGAGTGTTCAAAATACGGAACTATGGCAATGGGGGTATCGTTTTCTACACGCGCTGCCAGAGTAGGCTCATGGAAAGGAGGGGTTTAGAGAGACTGAATCTTAGAACTGCTTTGAACGAATCATTTGAGAATCGTTGGAAAATGAGGTGATATTAAATGCATATTTGGCGAAAACAAAAGCATTTTTTTGACTTTGCATGAATGTAAACCTATTGTAGTAGACTCCCAAAACAATATTAGGAACCTTACAAAATGGCATAATAGTGGCACTTTAATATTCGGACATTGTTTATTCACCCATGTCATTTCAAACCTGCATGCTGTTATTTTTCTATCTGTGAAACAGATAATTAGACTTAAAATCATTGTAAAATCTTAAAATCAATGTTTGAAATGCAATAAAAAAAAATTCTTTGGTCACAAAACAAAAAATCATTATGTATGGTGATGATTCATGGTGACCAGGGGCTCTAAAAGAAAAATTAAATACATAAATAAAAAGTATACTAGGAATATAGAGCACGACCACTATTATGATACTTGTTTAGAGCTTGAATGGCAAAAACATTTGCGTTCTGTGAAAACAAAATAACAACAAATGAGTTACGATAAAGTAACGATTAAAATTTTTAGGTGAACTGTTTCTTTAAAAATTGAATATAATATGAAACTCAATATTGAGAATATATTACAGTAAGACGCAGCTCTTGTGGGCTGCCATGAACAGAAGTCTTCTATTACCTGGCATGCACGATAAAGAGCTATCAAGTCAAGCAGTTCATTAATCATTGAAATGGTGGTGGTGGGGGAGTGACTTCACTCATTATAAAAGAAAGATGGATGGGAGGTTAAAACATTGGTCTCCATCAGCCCAGATGACAAGACGACACGCAGTGGGACACGCTAACACTCGAGTGAGTGAGTCAGTTGCCATTACAAAACTTGTAGGTGTTCAGTTCCCTAAGTGGATTAGTTTGTACATCACAGACAGCAGTTAAAAACTAGAATTAAAAACTATATTTAAGACATTTTCTGAAAACAGTACCCAAAGAAATAGTTAACCGAAACCTATAATATATGAATACAATATTATTAGTGATAATAAATATAAAAATGTACAAAATATTACAATAGTAACACTAATGTAAATCAACTATATTTAAGACATTTTCTGAAAACAAGACTTCAATGAATAGTTTACCCAAACCTATAATATATGAATTTAATAGTATTTTTCTTAATGAAAATTATTAATACTGACAAAATATTACTACACTTACATTAATTTAAATCAACTATAGTTAAGAAATGTTCAGAAAACAAGCCACAAAGGAATCGTTCACCCAAATCTATAATATATATGAATGTAATATATTATTATTCATAATCATAAATATTCATATTTTATATTTACAAAATATAATAACACATTTAAGACATTTTCTGAAAACAAGTTTTCTTGGAACAATTTGCCCAATAATATTAATTTAATGCTATTATTATTAATAATAAATATTAATATTTACAAAAAAATTACAACACTTACACTAATTTAAAGGTGCCATATAATGGAAAACTGTATTTACCTTGGCATAGTTGAATAATAACAGTTCTGTACATGGAAATGACATACCGTGAGCCTCAAACACCATTGTTTTCTCCTATTTATGTAAATCTTGACCACTGAAAAATAGGCGAATCAGAACATAACACCGACTGTGACGTTACAGTCGGGATCACTAATAGTTACGCCCCCAACATTTGCATATACCCGCCCATATACCCACCCATGTTCTATGCCAGCCGTCAGCCGAATCATCAGAAGTTCTGCAGGTATTGTGAAGAAACAAGCGA